CCCTTCCACTGAAGCACCTTATTCCACAAACGAGTGAGTTAAACACAAACTCGTGATGTGACCTTGGTTTTATCCAGCAGTGCTAAAACGGGACACACTCTGTAATTCTATCCTGTAACACAAGAGCACGGCGCTGAAGCATCAACAACATGCTGAGACTCTGTCTGAAATGCACAAATCTGAAAGAATGAACAGTCAGCAGTTTACTTTAGAGTCAGATGGAAATATAACACAATAAAATAAAGGCGCTATGAGATCAAATCAAACAAACTAATGAAGTAAAAGCCGAACAAACAATATCAGAAACACAATATTAATATAAATTGTAAAAAACACTGTCAGATTCTTTGAGACACATTGACGTGTTTCAGATTTAAATGATTTTATCCTCTTTAGCTCTGTTACATACACATATTTGTGTTATATTTTTATTTTCAAATTAATATTTTATTCTATATTTTTACTTCCTGCTTCTTTAAGACTTTCGATTGGGAGCATCTGCAGCTGAAAGCCATTTCCCCTACAGAGGATCAATAAAGTATTTCTGATTCCGTCCCTGCTGTTTTGGTATCAGACGGTCTGCAGCGCCCCCTGCTGGACGCTCAGCTGAACTGCCATTGAGCTGTTACATCACTTTGCAGCTTGTGGTTACCTAACTGACTCTTTGGTGGACAAGATGAACTTCAGCGAGTTAACTGAGGCATAAACACACATTTGTTCACCACACCTGCAAAAAAGCACCTGATTGATGAACCTGTAGGTGGAGAGAGGAGCTGCCAGCATCTCAGTTTAAACTACATTTCTGTCATAACAAAGAGCATCCAGTCACATTCAACAGGGCAGCAAACACAGTTCAGTAGATCTGTGAGGTATCTTCACATCCACACAGAGCCACAGAGCACAGTGTGGTCCTTCAGCAGGGCTAGTGATAAAGCTGGTCAGTGAGTGGTGACCCCACCTGGACAGGTAACTGGTCACGTTTCTCTAAGAAGGAGTGAATAAAGCGTCCTGCTACTCACCACCATGACACCAGAACTCTTGATGGACGAAACATTTCGGCTGAGACAAACTGCGGACATCTTTCTGTTCGGATCAGCTGCTGACGGTGACAGTGACTGGACCGGACCACACCGGAGACTCTACTAACCTCAGCCTCAGCCACGCCCCGTGAGGACAGGTGCCTTCACGGACTCCCTCCCTGCTCGTTCAGCACAGCACCAACTGGAAAAGACGTTTTTCTGCTCCAGCTGCAGAGGAGTGACAACGAAATGAGCACCAGACATGGATATAACATTAACACATATACAACTAACAGGGATTTAGAGGTACAGTTGTCCATTGATTAAATCATTAACTGTATATATCCGACGGTACCTGAAGGCATCATATGTAAAAGCGTCTTTCACAACTCACATTGCTGCCGGTGAGGGTCGGTTACATACAGAAGACAACAACAGCCCTGTGCAATATCACTTAAAAGTCAAGTGTTTCATAACCAACACTCCTCTTATGAATTTCTTATATATATTTAATTATAATTAAAAAAACACATGGCTCGAACTCAGAGCAACACCTGTGATCACTAAACAAACAAATAATAATAATAATAACAATAACACAGCTGTGATTTATAACCAGCCCAGCTACATGAAGGATCAGCTGTGTCTACTTACATGTCTGCATCATGGCTCTAATTGGACCCACAGCGTCTGTCCTTAATTAGAATTATTCCAGAAACCCTATCTTACTGATCAACAGATGAACAAGTACACGGCAAGAGTTATCAGTGGAAATCAGAATTAGAACAACAATGGCAGAACATCTCTCCAGAAATGCTGAGGATCATGTGGTCATCACATATCTTTGCATTTTAACCTAATAACTGCACCATTTTCGAATCATTTCAGCATAAAATGAATGCAACATGTGAGCTATTGTGCTCTGGGCGGAGTTAGTCATCCTATTATCTTTTTATGATCACACCCATGGAGGAGGGCTTCCTAATAATAATCCTCTATATATGATTTGCAGCTAAAATCAACTGCAAAGCAACTGTTATATATCTATTTTTAGAAAGAAAAAAAAGTTTCACCATAACACAAAGTTTTATATGTAACATAATCCTCCAAATAAATAACTACTGAGAGCAGGTCTGCTGAATGTGTAGAAGATAACAAACACTGACAGTAGAGTCCATAGCGCGATGATCTATAATGATCTAACGACAGGAACTTACAATAAAAACAATAAAATGTGTTTTCAGTGGTATCTGTTGCAGTATTTTGGTCGTTACTTTAATGATTAGAGTTATGTCTTATATTAAAAAAACTAAACAAAAACAAAACTCTGTCAATAAAAACACACGTGGACACATTATGTCATTCTGACTCTCTTCTTTTTTTTTTGCGGCTCTTTGCTGGAGGGTGTGTGTGTTGTTCTACTTTTCACTTTAAAACACACCTAAAGTCTTTTATTGGATTCAAGTCAGGACACATAGTTGGTCAGGACATAGTTTTCACTTTTTCTTCTCTACAGACTCTGATGTGGTTTTGTTGATGTGCTCTGATTCAACTTATTTGGCTTTAAAGTGACACTGCGCATGTCTGGTGTGTCATCACTGTTTGTATTAAATAAGTGCCAAATGATTGCTGGATGTTACAGTAACTATCATTATTATTGTTGTTGTTGTTGCTGCTGCTGCTGTTGTTATTATTATTATTATTATAAATCAGCCTCTTTTCATTGATCATTTCCATAAAAAAGTTTCAAAGTATCAACAAGTGATTTCCTTTGAAGCCCCGCCCCCCTCCCCGGTACCACCACCAGCAGCAGGACTCCCTCCTCAGTCCGGGGACCTCAGCCTGCAGCTCCGGCTACACACAGGCAGCATGTCGTGGCTCTTCGGCTGGAGGAAAGGCTCCGGGACGCCGCCGGCGGAGGAGCAGGCGGCGGCTGAAGGAGCACCGGGAGCACCGGGGGACAACAAACCCGGAGACAAGACACCCGGAGACAAATGGAGCAACTTCGACCCGACCGGGCTGGAGAGAGCCGCACGAGCCGCCAGGGAGCTCGACAAGTCACGTGGGTCTTCTTTACATTTTATTTTTTACAATAACTTTAAATTTAAATACTTCCTACCAAACTCTAGAAGTTACTTGAGTTCAGTTTTTTTTTTGTTTTTTTTTAAAATTTCTTTTAATTTATCAAACGCTGATATGTTGGAGCAGCACATGGACCAACGACCACTGCATGTAGAGGTTACAGCAGAACCATCACTAGAACTTTTTAAGTGCAACAGGCTGCTAGGAACACTTTAATCCCGTTATTATGCTGATATGTTCAGGGTGTCTGAAGCCTGAGTTGTTAGATTTCTTCAGCAGGCAGTAGTTTGGATGTAATTTCCAAATGTGTTTTTTTAATTGTCTGCGATGCTGGATTACTAACGGTGTGTCCTACATTTACTACAAATAGCGACAAAGGACGTGCATGTGCACTGAGGTGTTTGTAGTCACTTTGTAAGGGGATATGTGACCTTCACACACGCTGCAGAAATATTCGTGAGTTTTGGTGGGCGTGACGAGGCAGCAGAAAAGAACAGCGTGTCCCAGCTCCTCACCTGTCCCTCACATCAGCCCTCTCATGACACCCAGCGTGTCAGCAGGCTGCCCACCGGACAGCCTCATGTTTGTTTGTACCATGCTCACCTCTCTGGACACCACAGGTCCAGTCCTGCACCATCATGTGGCTGCAAGCAGATCATATGGAGAAGAGTAACTAGAAGCAGTCATCAGGTTGTAGTCACGGCTTGTCACTCATTTCAACAGGACATGCAAAAGAAGCTTTGGATCTGGCCCGCATGCAGGAGCAGAGCGTACAGCTGGAGCATCAGAGTAAAGTGAAGGTATGGGAGGATATGAGTGGCTGCATGATAAAGCCAACACTGATCTGTAGGAGCCATGAAGATGAAATATAGAGATTTTATATTAATATTAAGTATTGTTTGGTCTTATTATTGTTGGTTATTTGTTTGATTACTTGTTGGGAGCTGGTCACATGGTACAGGGTGGTGAAGTCTGTTCAGGTACCTGCTCACCTGTTCATAGGCAGCTGGTGAGGAGAGGGTGAGTGGGATGAACGCAACCTTAGATCGCTGTGATATTAATGTTATAATTAGTGCACGTTTTGTTAAGTTGACCTTTTTTCATTATTAAATTTTTGAATCGTATTTTGGATCTCAGCAAATCTTCTGCACAGCGTGTCGGCTCAGCTTCATCCTCACTTCATCTCTGTTTAGTCTGTTTTTCATGAGGTCGTCACACTAACCAAACTCCCCAACAGGAGTACGAAGCAGCTCTGGAGCAGCTGAAGGGAGAGCAGATCCACCTCCAGGGGGAGGAGAGACGGAAAACACTGGCAGAGGAGACGAAGCAAAACCAGGCGGTAGGGACACGAAACATGACAGCAGGAGGATGATCACATCCATCTCATTTCCCCTCTGGTATGAATGTAATCGGCTGTTTTGTTTATCACCTCTAGAGGGCGCAGTATCAAGACAAACTTGCCAGACAGAGGTATGATGATCAGCTCAGGCAACAGGTAATCCTTTTAAATGGACCCTGAACAGGACTATCAGCTGTACCTGGATGGAGAATTCATCGTGTGTGTTTTGTCTCTGCAGCAATTCCTCAACGAGGAGAACCTTCGTAAACAAGAGGAGTCGGTTATGAAGCAAGAGGGCATGAGGAAAGGTACAGGACCTCTATGTTAGATATGAGAGAAAACGTCTCTGTGATGAAAACATACTGAAATGTCTACCAGATGACTTCAGTAACTCTAACGGGAAACAGTTTTGTAGTCGACTCTATCTGCAAAGAGTTTTATTTTAAATAAAAGCTAAATAACAATGTTTTACTGGGACAACCTTTCAGATGTGGAACCTTTTCTCATAGGGGGTAGCAAAGGCATCTATAGCAGTTTAGAACGACAAGCTCTTCATACAGAGCGTAGTGGTGCAGATTTAAATAATCAAACAAGTGAGTCGTGTTTCCTCATCAGGTGGGAATGACTGTGAGACTCTGATGACGGTGTGTGTGTGTGTTTTTGGTCAAAGTCATCCTTCCTGTGGCTGAAATATTTCCATGTAACTGACTTGGGCTGCAGGAATAAAACCTAAATGATGAATCACCATATAGATGAGTATTTAGATCACAATTTGCCTGTCATACAATATTTTTTATAGCTTTTTCCTGTTTAAACAAACAGAGTGTTGCTTTCACGTCCATGCTGTGCGACATTTCAGCTAATGTTCACAAAACTTAAAACAATCTTCAGCTGAAATCGGTGCTCATAGAAGCAAAATATAAATAAAGTTGTCATTGCAAGAAGCTAAACTCATGATTAATAATCACATTATTGTGCAAGTGCAGTAAAATGATTTTATTTTTCTTCTTTGCAACCAAATCTTCCTTTTTAAGGTGTTTTTCCTCCTCTTCCTCACTCATTTTGCCGTGTGGAGACTGAATGTGCACAACATGCAGCGTTCATCCGGTCATGATAATATGTTTAAAAAAATATTATTTTTTCTGGTTGCAGTGTGAATAGTTTGTGATGCTTTATAGCAAAGGATGACCTTAAATCCATCTACACAGGTCAGAAATAATATCAAGACAGGATCAGACACCTGAGTGTCTCATAGTGACAGGTTATTATTTGGTTTTCAGCATGTCTCCACATGTTGAGCCTCTTTTTTTTTTGTTTTCGGACCGCAGCTTTAACTTTGATTCACAGAGAGTAGACTGACTGACCGTACAGGCTCTTTTAGAACAACCTCAGATGTTAATACAACAGAATAAATACCATGTACAAGGACCAGCAGTGAACCTGTTATAATTCCTTTATGTTTTATAAGCTGTAGCAGAGCTGTCACACTTCCTGCTGTCCATAGGAAGGGGCTGATGGAAAATACATTAGATAACAGCCACTTCAGTGCCAGTGGACAGAGTTCCCTTATTAGGAGTACAAAGGAGCTGCATCTTTAAATCAGTTCAACCTAATATTCACTTGGTGTAAAAATAAGTTAAGCCTTGCTGATTAAAAGTAGGTCACATGTCCGGCCCTGTCACTACCACTTATTAATATTAACTTCCCTTTTTTTTTTCCTTCCCAGCTACCATCGAGCACGAAATGGAGCTGAGACACAAGAACGACCTGCTTCGGGTTGAAGCGGAGGCCAAAGCTCGTGCTCAGGTGGAGCGGGAGAATGCAGATCTGATCAGGGAGCAGATCCGCCTGAAAGCTGCTGAACACAGACAAACTGTCCTCGAATCTATACGGTGCCTGCAAAATGACTTTCCACATTCCCTGATCATGAGAGTTACTGGCATGTTATCCTCCAGCATCTCTCTCAGCTGTCAGTAGCAGTTAAACAAGAATCCCAGAGGGCGGCAGTGGCTGGAGCTGCCACAGTGGAGGCAGTCGGGGTGATAATTGTGTTTTGTTCCCGGCAGGACGGCGGGAGCGGTGTTTGGGGAGGGATTCAGGGCCTTCGTCTCCGACTGGGATAAACTCACAGCAACGGTAAAGCCACGTCAAACCTGCCAGGCTTTGTCAAACATTCACAACAGGAGGACTGCAGAGGGTTTTAGGAGCCTTCATATTTGATGTATTGTCCACGATGTTGAAGCGTGTGTCTGTTTTTTTTTTTCCTCCACTGCAGGTCGCTGGACTGACCCTGCTGGCAGCAGGAGTGTATTCTGCCAGAAACGCCACGTCGGTGGCCGGGCGGTACATAGAGGCTCGTCTGGGTAAACCCTCGCTGGTCCGAGAGACGTCCAGGTTGACGGTTGCAGAGGCCGTGAAACACCCAGTCAAGGTCAAACTGCGTCCAAATCTGAGTGATTTAGTGTTTCTTTGATGGCCTGCTGATAAAATCTATCTGTTCCAGGATGAAATGCAGGATCTAGATGTTTGTGATGAAGCTTCACATGAATGCATTTTACACGAGAGCTGTTCAGTTATTTTGATAATTTTAGGAACCACCATCCATGAACAGCAACCAGTTGTCTAGAGTCTTGTTCGAGTTGAAGTTTGTGACATCAGTCTGGAAACTCGTCAAATGTTTCCAAGAGAAGAAATTACTTGAATTCTCGTAGTTTAATCGTAGCAACTGGACTTGCTTGAGTTCCTTGAAGACGTTCCACCTCTCATCCAAGAGGCTTCATCAGGTCTGACTGACTAGTTGGGAGTTCCAGATACTGATATCCTGAAGGAGACATTAACACCTGAGTTTGGGGGGTTGTTGCTCCTCCCCCTCGTTATGTGACTCATTAGTGCTCCCCCTGCCACAGTGGGGTTCGTTAAGGAACACCCTTAACGAACGAGCATTGGACCCGAAGAAAGAGGTTCCAGGTGCATGACGAATGTCCCTCTTTTTATATTTTAAAAAATAAAAAAAACAACACGTGTCACCTAAACCAAATGGCCTGAAGTCCAAAAGACCCCAAAAGTCCTCAACAGGGTTAAGAATGAATGAAGACATCCATGTTTTGGACATTGTCTGCTGACTGTTTAGAATTTTGGGATTAGTTTGTTTCTTCTTCTTCTTCACATTATGACTGGATTACAGGAAACCTTTTACTCTCTGATTGACGTTTACATTCTGGTTAGCAGATGCTAACTGTGAAAGGATTTCTGATAAAACCCAACATCACACAGTCGCCTCTGCTCATTTTTAGACAGCCAAGCGTCTGAGAAGCAGACCTCAGGATGCCTTGGAGGGTGTGGTGCTCAGTGTGAGTGATTCGCTGCTTTTATCATATTCATACATTCTGCATTCCACATTTATCTGGGCCTGACTGTTAGAAATGCTAAGAGCTGCCCTGGGTCTGGTTGATACAGGCGGCTTTGGAGGAGCGTGTGCGGGACATTGCCATCGCCACTCGGAACACCAGACAGAACCGAGGCTTGTACAGAAACATCCTGATGTATGGACCCCCTGGAACGGGGAAAACCCTCTTCGCAAAGGTATGGCTCGATCCAACACCTTTTTCTTCTTGTTTCTTGGCGTTTTTGGCAAAGCAGCGATTCTTTTTTTTTTATAAAAGAAAAGCTGTTGTGCAAAATCTTACTGCGAATTTAAATACTACAGTATTGGTCCAGCCTGGTGGTAATACACTGCATGCAATAGGCATAGACTGCATATAAAAGATGGATGCAGCTTCTGGATCTGACACGTGAAGCCATAACCCTCTGAACCCTAAAACCTGAAAGTAAACTGCGACAGCCCACCACCAGTGCTTGACCTGCTCCTATGTGATGTGCTGTTCTGCTTAAAGTTGTAATATTTCATCCAAATCACTTTATTCCACTTGTCTCATTTGAAAATTCACCAGAATGGAGCTGATTACACCAGATTCTGTACAAAAATGAACAATTCAGGGACTTTTTGGCTAAACTGCAGGTAAAACTAAGAAATTTAAGTAGTAAAACATCTATAGTATGCAGAGTCTCTATTTGTTCAAGCACTGGTATTACCTGTAAGGGGATCTCCTCTGTTGGTGTAAAGAACTTTTTTTTTTTTTTTAGAAGTCTACGAGAAAATGATTCTACTTCTCATTTGATGGGTTATCTTGGTAAACTTGATGAGTTTCAGGTCTTCAATGCAGCATTTTGGAAGTAATGGTTCCATTTAAAGTGACATTTCTTTTTTTAAAGTTATTTTTTTGGCCTTTGTTGGATAGTGTTAGTGAGAGCGAGACAGGAAAGTGGGGGAGGACATGTGGGAAAGGGTCATGAGTGGGATTTGAACTCATGACCTCCACATTGGGACTGTAGCCATGCACATGGGATGCCAGCTCAACCAGGTGAGCTATAGCGGCGCCCCTTAAAGTGACATTTCTGATGAAGCAGGGTGTGTTTTAGCGTACGGCGAGCTGGTGGCCGACTGCAGGTCTCAGTCAGATCCCTCTTGTCATGTCCAGTTTCAAAGAATGGAAAACAGATAGTAAGCTTCTTAAAAATGGGATCTCACAGCCTGATGGAACACATCACAGTGATTACCTCCGTCTTTTAAATACACTCTGCCCATGTGATGTAGAGTCTTATACGTCTCTGTTTTTTATACCAACTAAAGGTCTGCTAACATGCAAACATTGCATCACAAAACCCGCGACGGATCTTACAAATATCAAGACGTAAATAACTGTTCAAATCATTTTTATCTTTATTACAATAAAGACGCTGTTTATTTGTCAATCTGCACGTTGTATTTAGCTTGTTATTTAAATTTAAGACTGTAGTGCGATTCCTGTTTGCTCTCCTGCTTCAGAAACTGGCTCTCCACTCAGGGATGGACTTTGCCATCATGACAGGTGGGGACGTGGCACCCATGGGGCGCGATGGAGTCACTGCCATGCACAAGGTGTTTGACTGGGCCAACACCAGCAGGCGAGGGTAAGGCACTTTAATCTGCTCCATTACCAACCTATGAATTAGCACTATGATGAGTATTATAAAGTATGTTAGCTGGTAAATGTTGAGTAAAGGTTCCAGCATCGTGGTGGACTGGATGTAGTGCTGCATGCCGAGCTGCTGTTATTTTCCTGATTACATTAAAGGCCCTGAAGAATATGCCGGTTTTTAAGCTCATTCTCTTTGATGTTCTCTTATTCTCTGCAGCCTCTTGCTGTTCGTAGACGAAGCTGATGCATTCCTGCGTAAGCGAGCCACAGTGAGTTCAGCTGCAGTGCCATGTGCATGGTGATGATGCCCTGTTTTTTTTTTAATCATATATTTATGAATCATGATTTTTGCATTCCAGGAGAAAATCAGTGAGGACCTCCGAGCCACCCTTAATGCATTCCTCTACCGCACCGGCGAGCAGAGCAACAAGTCGGTATCTTATTGTGTTTACTGTGCATGACTGGGCATGTAAAGGTCATCGCTGTGACGGAAAAGGTCACCGACTGGGTCTAAGCAGCTTCTTTATCTCTCCTCAGGTTCATGCTGGTGCTTGCTAGTAACCAGCCCGAGCAGTTTGACTGGGCCATCAATGACCGCATTGATGAGATCGTACACTTTGCCTTACCGGGTCTGGACGAGAGGGAGAGATTGGTGCGCTTGTATTTCGACAAATTTGTGTTGGGCCCCGCCACTGCAGGAAGACAGTGAGTGCTCTCATTGGATTTCACTAAGAGCTAGTGTTGCTGCTCTGAAGGTGAGGTGATTTACCACCACAAAGGAAAGCACTGGTCCCTGGAGATTTCCTTGCTAGCTCAAGTTGCATAATGGTGTGTATAGCGTTCAATCCTGAACCACGGAGGTGTCTGAGTCTTACTTATTGCTTTAATAAAATGGTGTTTAAGCCCTCAGAAAGCAGTACACAAGCAGCACACTTTGTTCAGTCACCACCAATCAATTACAGGAAACAATCTCCAAGCCCACTTACTGTACAAACCTCATGTGCTTTAACTCAACAGGAGGTTGAAACTGGCTCAGTTCGACTACGGTCTCAAGTGTTCAGACATTGCAGTGCGAGCAGACGGCATGTCGGGGCGTGAAATCTCCAAACTTGGTGTAGCTTGGCAGGTAAGTAGAAAAGCCTGTGACACAAAATATACATCTGCTCAAATAATATAAAACAGTCCTCTAACACCTGTGTTTTCTGGAAAGGCTGCTGCCTACTCATCTGAAGATGGAGTTTTGACTGAAGCAATGATTGACTCAAGAGTGGATGATGCCGTCAAGCAGCATGCACAGAAAATGGACTGGCTGCTGATGGAAGCAGGTATGGGGGTTGGTAAGGTCGGCGTGCTCGTCCCCAAGGAAATGGCTGCAGCAATCACAGCGCAAGAAGGTGCTTCTCTAGCACAAGGTGAAGACACGACCCCGACTGTACAACAAGTTCTGCCGCTATACGAGGTCATAAGCAATGCTGCCCAGGCAGAAACAGCCACTCCTCCTTCAGAGCTGCAAGCAGATGTTATCCTCCAAGAAGCTACCACTCTGGTTAAGGAAAGTGAAGCTGTTGCTCCAACAACGATCTTGAATGAACCAGTTGAGACGATGGCTGCTGCTGCCCCGTTGGAGCAGGAGGTCGAGGCTGTCAAGGACCTGACCGTTGAGGTTCTAGAAACAGCTGCAGACACTGCTGTACCTGAAGTAAAGGATATAGTCACTGAGGCTATCGAAACTGAAAGCACAGCAGCTTCCACCATCCAAGAAGCCTCAGCCATGAGTAAAGAAGAGCCCTCTGTTGATTTAGTGCAAGAAACTGAGGCTGAAGAAGTGATCAAGGAGAAGCAGGAGGTTGCTCCACATGTTGATGCAACAACAGTCTCTGCTGTTGCCCTGGAGAAGCAATTAGACACTGTCATCTCCAGTGTTGTCCAGGAGCCAGAAGCTACAGCAGCAGCACTCTCTCAAGACGCTGTTGTTCAGGAAACAGAGCCAGCAACCACATCTGTTGATGCCGGAGAAACTAAAGCCAGTATAGCTGCAGAGGAAGCAACCACTGATACAGTAAAGGTGGCAGAGGAAATAGTCACCAATGTAGCTCAGGTGACTGAGTCCTTGGTGAACATTGTTAAGGAGGCTGAATCTATAGCAGCTGATGTAGCCAAGGTGGCCGATGCTGTAGCGACTGTCGCTGAGGAGATGGAGGCAGTAGCCATGAAGGAGTCTGAACCGGTGGAAAGCGTGGTTGTCACGGATGCAAAAGAGGCTGCGGGAGGGTTGGAAGTATCAGAGGTTACTCAACAAGCTGAAGTGGTTGTGACAGAGATGGAATCACAGATAATGGACGCAGAGATTGTTAAGGAGGTCGAACCTGTGATGTCTGAGGCTGCTGCCAGCGAAGCTGAAGCCATGCCCAAAGAGATTGCAGCGGAAACTAAAGCCGTAGCTTCAGAGGAAACCAAGGTGACTCCAACCACTGCCACAGAGTTGACTACAGAGCCTGAGACTTTGGCCACAGAAAGTGTCAAAGAACCTGTACCCCCAGAGATTGCTGAGAAGGAAGCTGAACTTGTCACAGCAGAGGTTTCCAAGGAAGCAGAAGTCCTACCAGGTGAAGTCATCTCAACAGAAACTGTAGTAGAAACTAAAGCCACAACCTTAGAGGAATCAGAAAAGGCTCAGACTGCAGCTACAGAGGTTGCTGCCGAGGAGGCGAAGGTTTCCAAGGAAGCAGAAGTCCTACCAGGTGAAGTCATCTCAACAGAAATTGCCTTAGAAACTCATGCCACAACTGCAAAGGTAGCCGAAGAGTCTCTGACAGCGGTTGCAGATTCTGCCACAGAGGCTACACCTGAAGAGTTACTGCCGACAGATACTGCCTCTAAGAACGCTGAGGTCACCACAGCAGAGGTTTCCAAAGAAGCAGAAGTCCTACCAAGTGACGTAAATCCAACAGAAACTGCAGTAGAAACCAAAGCCACAGCCTCAGAGGGATCAGAAAAAGCTCAGACTGCAGCTACAGAGATTGCTGCCGAGGAGGCCGCGGAGGTTTCTAAGGAAGCAGAAGTCCTACCAACCCAGGAGGGTGACACTGTGGTTACAGAAGATGTGAAACTGCCTGAAACTTCTGAGGCTGCTGTCAAGGAAACTGAGGCCAAAGCAACAGAGGCTGCAGCGCAGGTGGAGACTGAAGCCACTGGTGAGAAGGACTCGGTAGCTGGTCCCAGTAGTTCTCCACAAACCAGTGTTGATGCAAAGATGAATGTGTCAGAACAGTGTGAGAAGTCAGCTGCCTCTGAGACTCCCAGCAAGGACGAAGCAAAGCCTGGTCAAGCTGCTGCTTCAGACAAACCGAGTGGAAAAGCCAGCGACAAATAACACGGCACATCTAGTCCAGCAAAGTGATCACCTGGGATCTTTGATGCTATGATGTAAATGAAGAGCTGCTGGAGTCCTTAAACCTCTGAGCCTGGAAGTCTGTCTTTTGTCTGCCCGCATGTTTCTTAGTGTGTTACTGTAGATGCCAAGGTGAAGGTCATAGTTGGGTTACAGTCTGTAGGATGCAGAAGTTTCAGTAAAATGATTTGTGAAACACTGGAATAGACTGATTCATTCTTTCTTCTTATGTCTGTCTGGTCTTTGTTCTAAAAGTCTGTGACTGTGTGACTTTTGTTCAGTTACATGTTAGTTAAGCCTGGCATTTCTCAGCAGTATTTAGCATCAGTGGAAAATCCATCCATTTTCTATACAGCCTTAATCCTCACTAGGGTCATGGGGGGCTGGAGTCTATCCCAGCTGACTCAGGGTGAAGGCAGGTTCACCTGGACAGGTAATCAGTCTATCACAGGGCTACACTTAGAGACAGACAACCAAGCACACTCAGAACATGCAAACTCCACGCAGAAAGATGCTCTAACTGGGATGCGAACTGGGGATCTTCTAGCTGCGAGGCGGCGGTGCTAACCACTGCCGACCATGTTGCCCCACCAGCAGAGTGTAGTGAAGAGTTTTCTGTCTTCTTCGTGGTACATCAATGTAAATTTGATGTGTTTTGCCGTCAAACTGCTGGTTAACAATCAACTTAAAGGATCAGTGTGCAGGATTTAGGGGGATCCTAGTTTAGTTTTTATTAATGTATAATCACCTGTAGCTATGAATTGCTGCATTTGTGCCCAGATTCAGCTCATTATATCTATCAGGAGCTCACCTTGTTGCAGCCCTCACAGACTTTACTGACGTCATAGCTGCAGTGTGTGACTGTGTGAGTTCATGACGCCTCCAAATGCAATAAAAAAGGAGGAATGGGACACATTGAAACCAAGACATCGCCGTTTAAGTGACGCGATTAAGTGATGCGATTAAGTGAATATGGACTCCAATTACAGTTTGATCAGCTGCTCAGTAGATCGCTTTCTGTTTGTCACATTCCAGAGTTTATACGTCAGGAAGACCAGAACATCAGTAGATCCTCTGTGAATGTTTGGCTGAAAACACAAACGACTGTACAAATGTGCAATAATCACAACAGGGAGTGTCTGGATGGTATCGCAAGCGCCGATCGAGAAGTTCTGAGAGTGCCTACAGACCTCAGAAACCAGAGCTGATGTAAATTTGGCTGCCATCTTCTGCAATCACCATTTGTGAAAGTTCTGCTCTTTAAATATGTCAGAACTACCTGTGATGATCTCCTAAACTCTGTAAAATGGTGACTCATCAACTTGAATAAAATGTTTTGGGAAGAATAAGTCACAGGGAGCCAAATCTGGTCAGTAGGACTGATGAGAAGTGACAGTTGTGTTGTGGCGCAAGAAAATAAAACAAAAATCTGTGTGTAATCGCTGCATTGCAACCAGATGCCGTTGCACCACAGCTCTGGTCTCCCTCAAACACTGAAGATGTTACAGTAGAGCTAGACTTTGACAGAACAACCACGTGAGTGTTGCTCCTGACCTGATGTGCCTGGTCCGGTTCGGGATGCTGTGGCTCTTCCATTTTGAAAACTGCTGGTTCTGGTCTTGGTGGTAGCTGCAGAGCGACTTCTCATCACCAGTGGGGACATCCAGCATGAAGGTTGGATCATCCTGCCTGCTGATGGACACACGACTGGAGGTTTGCTCTCTGCTACCAGTTTGCCGACCGTGAAGAAATGACGAATGCACACCTACCAGCGATCATAAAAACGTGTTGACAAACTGTGGTTCAGGTGGTAGAGCGGATTGTTCTCCAGTTGCAAGGTTGGTGGTTCGATCCCCTCCACAGCTGAAGCGTCCTTGGGCAAGACGCTGAACCTGAAGTTGCTCCCGATGGCAGGCAGCACCTTGTATAGCAGCTCTGTCGCCATGAATGTGTGTGAATGAGGAACACATTGTAATATAAGTGCAGACCATTGACCAACTCATCAGTTACTGCTTGTCACCACAAACTCAGAACCTTTTGCTCAATCCCTGCACAAGTAAACTACCTGTTTGTGGATTTAGAAAAAAGGCAAAGAATAGCATCAGAGAGTCTGCATCAGAACCTAAATGCACTGACTTATCTGAAACGTTCTGCACTTACTGGGAACACACCTCGTGGAGACATCACAGGTTCTCATGTACTCTGGATGCTATTAAATCCTACACGCTGGTCCTTTAAGGAAGATATCTGAGAGATTTGTTTCAAGTAATAACTGACATTGCGAGTACATGTGGTAGCCAGTGTCTGGAGCTGCCTATGAAGAGCGGAGCACGTGTGTTTGCTAAAGAAAATCCAACCAACGTAAAAGTTTAAATGCCCTCGCTGCCACAATGTGCCACTGGATAATAGTGGAGGGCTTTTCTCCGTCGCAGTCGGATGTCATTGGCATTGTTAGTCATTTCACAAGTGTTGTTAGTCAGTGCTTTTGAAATTTCTATTTGAATTATAATAAACCAAAGTGAAGTTGTCAGCAGGACCTCTCTGCATAATCAATCCGCTGCTAGTGCTCCGAATTAACCTCTCGCTATGAGAGTGTGTTCTCGTCTCTGCTCATATGATTGGAATGACACAATCAAACATCAGAGGTCACTGTTGTGCTTCAATGGCACTTTTAATAAAACAGACATTTCATCCTCACAACAGCAATGTCTGGACGGAGAGGGCGAGGGGGGGGCCGGGTGAGGGTTCCCTCTGCTGATAGGCTGGTTGCTCCTGATAAGTGAGAGGGAATTGGATAAAGAAAATTGAACTGTGCTGTTGAGCGCAGCGTGGAGAACATGGACGGACGGGCGTGTGTGTGTGTGTGAGTGTGTGAGAGTGTGTGAGTGTGTTGAACTGACTCATCTTGGCTGGCATTTATTTCTCCTCCCGTGTCGACTAAACAATGATAATAAAGCAAAGAGAACCCCGACCGCAACCGCGCTCACTCCCCTCCCCCCTCACATATTTACAGGAAAAAAAAAATTAATACATTCAGTTAATTCACTAAGTAACAAAGCTAATTAATCTGTGTTTTTAGCAGAAATCACATGGTTTCACATCCAGTTTTCAAACAGACCTATCCCTCCGTTCCATTCCTATAATCTTTACCCACACGGTCCGTCATTAAGTTCTTCTATTGATAAACGACTCACACAAAAATCCCCCCACGCACCCCCCTTTTTTTTAAAGACTGTTAAATCCCACTTATTTATAACTATGTACAGAAGCAGCAGTCTAACATCACAAAAACCCACCCACCCGCCAGTCTCATTCGCCCCCACCCCACGCCAACAAAGTCCCCGTCCCACCCGATAGAGAAAAAAAATATCATGACACCCGTCTTGCCGCCCCGTTCCATACACTGCCCACATCTTACCCTGTTCTAAAAGAGCATGCCAAGTTTAACAATGAACACAGAAAATGTCTCTATACAGAAAAAACACCCTTAAAAATGTTTTGTTTTTTTCTTTTTCTTCTTCCTCCCACAATGGTGGACATGGACATAAGACAAGATTTCAGTGGCAACAAATAATCGTCATCTTGCTCCATTTGGGGATTTTTTAAGTGCTGACAGGGATCGGGTTTAGTCATAAGAAAGTCCTGTCACAGGGGGCCTAAGGGGGGGCCATGTTATGAACAGTGGGAGGGCAGTTTTCCAGGACCTCTGAGGCAACAGTTGGCCATGGGGCAGTTTGGGAAGAAGGGTGAGGTGTTTTGGAAAGGAAGGGACTTTAAGGGGAGGGGACAGGGTCGAGATTATTTGTTTTGTTTCTGTATTTTTTTTAGAGTCAGAGGTGGCGGGGACTGGGGTGGCCGTTGTGGTAGAGCTTCTGCTTGATGTGGACCATGTTGCCGCTGGAGTCCTCCAGCTGTCTGAGCTGGGCTCGGCGACGGAGGTCTCGAAGGTTGCAGAACTGAGGCAGCCATGACCAGGACGGAGTATCTGGAGGAAGAAAACAAGGCTGGTTGTCATTAGGTGTTGACGATTAACTGTTGATAGTCATCTTAAATATTTCTGTTGGAACATTATGGAAAGGAAGCTCCTGGGTCAACCTGTAAATGAACCGCAGGTAAAAACAACCCTCTATTAACCACAGGACCTTTCTCCCAAACATGTTTTGGTTACAGAAACATATTTAAAATCATGCACATATTCCATACATACAAGTATTTGCCGTTATAAAAACTAATAGGTTAGATTTACTAAATCAAAAACACAGGATTCAAATAAATCATAATAGCTCTTTTTTTTTAAACTTTCCCTTCTTCAGAAACTCTTGTGTGATTTTGCCAGCATCTGTGACGTCCTTCTGGATGGACTGCAGCTCTGATTAATGGTTCGACGGCTCGTTCTAACCTTCCTGATTACTGCTGCAGCCGTGGTTCAACAGATATTTAGTCGGTTACTGATCCTCCTGTATCCATTTCAACATTTGTGATTTCTCACAGTTAGAATTTTCAGTTTCTCTGACAATTGTTTTTATGATGATGATGATGCAGACATCCATCCATCATCTCTACACCTTAACTTAGGAGGAAGCCGGAGAACCCGGAGAGAACCCACGCTGCACGGGGAGAACATGGAGACTCCACGCACAAAGGTCCCAGGTGTCCTCACCGGGACGCCAACCGGCGACCTTCTAGCTGCGAGGCAACGATGCTAACCACTGAGCCACCATGATGAAGACATGCAGATAAATAACTGTAATATTCTGGTGTTCACAGCTCGCCGGTCGCCGGTTGTCGTCCCGGTGAGGACACCCGGGATCTTTCTGCGTGGAGTCTCCATGTTCTCCCCGTGCAGCGTGGGTTCTCTCCGGGTTCTCCGGCTTCCTCCTACAGTCCAGAAACATGTTGACGTTAATTGGTGATTGTAAATTGTCCGTAGGTGTGAATGTGAGTGTGCTTGGTTGTCTGTCTCTAAGTATAGCCCTGTGATAGACTGGTTACCTGTCCAGGTGAACCTGCCTTCGCCCCTCACCACCCTAGTGAGGATTAAGGTGTAGAGATGATGGATGGCAGTATGGCGTCTGAGGCAATCGTTTTCTTTACACATCCCATGTAAGCACCACCAGATTTCACAGCATTCTGTCACTACAGTCCTGAACAATGTGTACTTTTTAAGTGTACTTTTGGCTTTTTGCCTTCATCCGACAGTTGAC